TCGATAAAACTAGTATTAGTACCTTAAAGATACAGTCCATCATTTGTAATTTCCAACGATGCGTCTAAAGACGCGATAGGGTAAATTGTTTTCAAGCCGCACGTCCACCTGTGCGTTTTGAAGATCAATGCACCCTGTGGTAAATTATGTCATGATGTCGTGACCCTGCTTCCAGGATGGCGTCATCCGATTACAAACTATCTAAGGATGTTGTCATCCTACTTTCAGAATGTCGTCATCCCATAATAAATTATAGGAGGATGTCGTCATCGTATTTTCAGGATGTCTTCATCCCCTGATAAACTATCTCAGGATGTCGTCTTCCTCATTTTAGGATGTCGTCATCCCCTAATAATTTATCTCAGGATGTCGTCATCCTACTTTTAGGATGTTGTCATGCCATAATAAATTATATCAGGATATCGTCATCCTATTTGCAGGATGTCGTCATCCCATAATAAATTATCTCGAGATGTCGTCATCCTACTTTCAGAATGTCGCCATCCCTAATGAATCATCTCAGGATGTCGTCATCTTGCCTGTATTATGTTGTCATCCTGAGATAAAATAAGTCAGTATCTAAACAAGTCGGATGGCACTTCCAGAGCTCCGTACTTCCGAGAGATAGGGCGAGAGTAGTTTGTGGGATTTTCCCTAATTTTTCAATTAATTTTTACTCTGACAAAAACGCTTAGTTCGAGTTCAAAGTTTGAACTAGTAACGCCCATGCAATTTGAACAGCATGAGGCTTGGGTATTCATTATTTGCACGGGTCCAGGTAATTGTGTTTAACAATCGACTTTCGTCGTTATGTCGAAAACACTTTTTTCCTTAGAGGCGCTAGCCCACTTCACTTTCACGGCAGGCATCAACAGAATCAGTTCTTCCTATAATGACCACTACGAATATATAAAGTCTTGAACCAAGAACTGCTTTTTTTGGAGATCTGTTACAAGAAACTATGGGCAAAAGTTTGTTTACGTTACAATACAGTACAATTAAAACTTATTATCCCATTACGTGAAATTCCATTGCCTTTTTACACGTATTTCTTTTAACACATAAAAACCGTGAATGTAAAAAGTACAAAAACACATACATCAATACAATAATTCAAAACAGAATAAATTAGCGAATGAAATCTTTAAGCAAGTAAGATATATCTATTTACTGTGTACCTATTTGTCATTCCTATTTGTTTTGCAAAAGTAGACGAACGTCGTCACCTAAGGATAAGAAGTGCAGCATAGCAGCTCAGCGTTGGATGAGTTGTCCAGCTGGGTTTTACAGTCCAGCAAACAGCTTTTATGCAAAATTCAAGTCTGTATTCTACCTACATGCTAAAATGCTTACGCTATTGGACTAAACAAACTAATAGAACAGAAAAGGGTTGTGTGGAAAAAATATTAAGAATGCATCAGCTGCTGACTATATATTTAAAAAAAAGTGTTACTTTTTAAGGAAAAAAAATGCCTGACTAGCATTCTTTTTACACTCTGGAGATTGCTGCATGACAACACACATTGTGAACAGTTCACGAACAATAAGGAAACAGTGCCAAGCGTCGGCAGCCGCACCCAAAGTAATAACATTGCCAAGTTTGGTGCATAGGAATGCGGTTTCCAATAACCATGCAATTGAAAGGACGTAGACCTATTCAAAGAGACGGATACAATGTATACCAGAAAAAAATACGCTGTGGAACACATCAATATGTTATTGGTAATTGCATGCAAGCTAGTGCAGGGGCCAAAGTGCAGTGGTACCGGCAGCTTGAAACCCCCTACGTGACGGACTGAGTGAAATTCATTCAATCAAATTGATGCTGTTTTCTCTCGGAGTTTTCACTGGAGTGATCCTCGTTTTAAAATACATGTATTTCAATTTAAACAGATAAGAGTTAGTTGCTCTCTAAATCGCCAGATCTTTTCCGTTTTGAAAATAATAAAAAAGATCGTCATAAGGATGTATGTGAATTGTTTTTGTGTTGCTTGAAGAACACGCACCTTTTTTGTGATCTGTGGACAGAACTTTAAAACGGTGGTTGTGTTTAAAACTCCGTAACTTAAAAAGTACATAAGTGATTTGAATGTTTCTTGCACTAAAAATACGCTTATGAAATCGACTTTCATATCCTAGATTTTGAAAGTGCTACATGCAGAACTTCACTAAAACAATGGTCCCGACATTTGGGTTTCGGGTTTTTTTACTCACCCTGTATAAAAAAAAAGTATGTACAGTGTACATGCGTGTGTCCAGATCACCCCCCCCCACACACACACACACACACACACACACACACACCCACCCATACTTGTTTCACATGACTACCCATTGCTTTCGTGTAGTTAAGAAAAACCAGTGAAAAAACTCATTTTTCTCAAACTGTGAAAACTCTTCAACCCAATTCTATGATTCCCTTTAGTGTTTCTCTTCATTCTGCTACAGATAAACCTAACCCAAAAATGCCTCTAAACCTGTTTTCCAGAAATGGGAAACACTGTGTGGACGTGGGGCAAGTCCACACAACGTCGGTGCTACCTACATTACGTCTTTTGTTCGGAAGTCCACACTGCGTAAGACAAACTCACACCACCCACCCACCCACCACCCACCCCTGCGACATACACACCCCTTCTCCTCGCTTTTCGGATATTCCAAGCTGCCCCGCGTTGTAAATAAGCCACCTTACATAATTCAGACTAAGGCCATAATATTATGCATGTATTTAATCTGAACAAAATTGTACTTGTTGACTTGTTGGGGGAGAGGGCGGGGTTCTCTTATGAGCATTGGGAGTGGGGGTGGCAGAGGAAGGGGCTAGCTGTAAGACGGTTGTTGGTGTAGATTGTAAAAGGTTCACTTGCAAATTGATATCTAGTATTTACAATTTAATTTAGGCAAATACATGTAGAAATCAAAATCTGAATTGGTGGCAAAAGAAGGGGAGGGGCCTAGCTGGGAGAAGAGGACTGGGCATCATTTGCATAATGGTGCACTTTAATCAGAGGACAATGGATATGGCCATTATTATTCATTGCGGCGTGCAAACACATGATTTTGCCCATGTGACATTGATTTTACCGACAAAGCCAAGTTATTGGTAGGTGGGCACACCCCAGCCTCAACCCCAAGCAATGCCCGGGGGGCGGTGGTGGAAGGGGAAGCTGTGTAAAGGAAGTCTTTGTAATTTCTAAAGTGTTCACTTGCAAATTGTTTATTTACATTTGTTTCGTTATGCAACATACAATATCTAAATTCAGTGGCAAAGCGGGAGTGGGCGGGGCCTAGCCAGGTGTGTGTGTGGGGGGGGGGGACTACACTACCTACTATTCATCCACTGGTCTAAAATTGATACACAGTGAGATTCTGTATGTGAAAATGTCTTAGATTCATGAACAATACCAATTAAACAAGGTATTACTCAAAACAATGGGAAAAAACTGAAAATACACTTTTTAAGGTTTTTGTGAAAATTATATTCTTGTAGCGCTACTGCACAAAGGATATACAATAACCTAAGATTTTCTCACCAGATATGAAAAGACCAATGTCTGAACTAACCATAGCCGAAGAGAAATTATTCTGAGTGCCCTGGCAAGTGCAATTTTGGAGGATTAAAAATGGGGTAAAAAAATGCAATTTTGCTAGTTGTAAAAACATGCTGTATTGTAGGGCCTGAAAAATTATATAAAGGTGATTTTTCAGAAGTGTTTTCATTTTTTCTTGTTAGGGTAAGGATGATATTTTGTCATGATATAGTTACTTTTGTGACATTACTTTGCATTTTGGCTTGCTGACCTTTGAAAATGATGCAAAAAATGAATTTTTGCAGCCTCAAAATTGCCAAAAATGGCCAAAACACATGATGGGCGTAACCATGGCAACGGGCAAAATATCGGTTTAAAAACGATTTTTTAGCGTGGACACTTATATGGAGTATTTACACAAAATGACTCTTAATCAGTTAGAGATGTTTCCCAACTCAATCACAATTCACAAGTTAGGCCAAAAAAAAAATAGGTCGGTCTCTGGTCAGCGTGCGCGTCGATTTTAATCATGCGCGTCGATTTTTTTTGTCCAAAATGTTCCGCGGTAGCTCCAACAGCGCCCTCTATTTCCGCACCTCCTCAATTTGTTTTACCAAAGAGCACCAAAGAATGGGAAATTGCGCCAAGGCAAATGATCGAAAGCACCAAGGCAAATTATGGAGGACACCAATGTACATGAGGACACCAAAAAGCAAAATAGTACCCCACCTTGTCTGTACAATCCAAGCTTGAAGAAAAAAAAAATCAAAAAAAAAAAAAGCCGCATCGCCGCGTCAATTCCGGAACTTTGGTCTGACCAGAGACCGAATATTTTTTTTTTTTTGGCCTTACCATGGGTGACTAAATCATGTGCGACATAACTGGTAATAAACAAACTCGATTGGAAATATCTCGGAAGCTGTGGGGCAACGAATTTGTGTTCATGCATGAGTCAGGTTATTGTGTCATGTAATTTCATGAAGGAGTAGTGTCTTGAGTAAAAAGAAAATCGGATTTTTGACCCCAGTGACACCATGATGACATTTGACCCCAGTTTAGTCATGTGACTTGTAGGGGCTGGGCTTCTGAACTATTTGACAAAGTTTGGTTGAATTCGGTCAAAATATGTATAGGAGCAGTAAACAATGTCAACGTTTGTTACTAACTTACGGACTAACGGAGAGATATGATAATTTGTTGAGCTGCCATCCCGCAGCAAAAAAAAGTCAAAATGCTGAAATACAGTAGGCTTTGCATGGGTCGGATAATCGGAGTTTAATTTTCTCCCAGCTAGAGTTGTTAAACTCTAGTGTTTACTTTTGTTTGTGTGCTAAAATTTAATTTCTTTTTCACAGCTTCATACGCAAACATAATTGCATACATCCTTTTCCACATGTACTGCTGTCCTAATGATCACATGTAAATTGGCAACTTATTAAAAAAAAAAAATAATGTCATTTTATCACTCACCACATTGGCAGACGGTTGATCCTGGTGTGGTGGTTGATCCTGGTGTGGTGGTTGATCCTGGTGTGGTGGTCGATCCTGGTGTGGTGGTTGACCCTGTTGTGGTGGTCGATCCTGGAGTGGTGGTTGGTCCTGGAGTGGTAGTTGATACGGGGAGGGGGTAATGTCATGTACAGATAATTTCAAAAAGTTGAAAAAATGGCCAACATGACGGATTTGAATGTGTATTTAAGAGAGCAAAAAGTCCAACTAACATTGTGGAGTGAGATTATGTGAAACACTCTCCACACAGATACGAAAGTCAATATGGATTTCTTCGCAGCTGAACAATGAAACCATATTACTTTATCAATGCTGGTTTGACCTAAAACAATTTTTTTTATAAATGCGTTTTTCTAACATAAGAAGTACTTATTTTTTTTTTTTTGTTAAGAATATATCAATTACAGTCCACGAAAAATAAAAAAGAACTGGCAATGTTTGTTTCGTTCGGGTGCTAGAGTTTCTTTCCTTTTGAACATCTTCAAACCCGGTAACCAACATTACTAATGCACGAGTACAATCTAATTCATTGGTACTGCTCTGATGACGCGCAATTCGAACCTGACATTTTATATAATATAATAACAACAAAAACACCACGTCTATTTACTCACCACATGGGCAGATAGTTCCTGGAATGGTGGTTGGTGCAGTTGTGTGAGTTTTGTTGGAGGGTCCATTAAAGGGGGAGGGAAAAGTTGAAATAATTGTTAATATTACATCATAAAATACATGTTGTTCCAGATAAACAAAAATGTGCGATTGCTGAAATACAACTTGTCCTATTCTGAAACTTTGTTAGTTCAGCATTAAAGACTTTGCATGGGTCAGAAAATCGTGGGGTCAATTATCATCAATGCAAATAATATGAATTGTTATATCATGTGCTTAGATACTGCAAGTTCATAGGTCGGGAACGGCCATGTGAAATACGCATGAACAATGGCTATATCTATGGGCTAACTTCGTGTACAATACGTGTTGCACGCGCACGTGTACAGAAACTGCAAAACGGGTTTGCCAACACCACAACACAGTAACAGCGCCACCAGGCATTAAATGATGACCTGGATTACCATGGTCATCATTCATTTTCCATTCGATTTTTGTGGGTTGACTATTGACTTTCTGGAGAAATTCTCACCCAAAGAAGACCACTCCTAAAATGAACAATGTTTCCAAAACTGAAAAAGTAGCCATTTTGAAAAAGGATCCCTTCACAACAGGGCTAAACAGCGACACTTTTGGACCCAATTGCATCCAAAATGCTCCGAGTTGGAAGCCCCAAGTCCAGGCCAGAGGTGCAGTGCCATATTCCTCAATTCCATATTTCCATGCCTCTCGAAACTATTATATATAATAATTTGAGTGTATAACTTGTATCCATGAGCTCAGCGGAAGGATTTGGGGCCAAAAGTTTGTTATTTTTCGCCAAACCACTTTTACGGCAAGCAGAATGATCCATAATTCATATTCCATTTTTTTTTAAATGAAAGAAACAAAATCTGAGGTCGATATCATGGCTGAATATGGGCAGCTTTTATGTGCATTCCCCGGCTATAGAGCGCCCTCATGGCATTAATTGAGTTGCAGCTCCTCCCAACTTCCAATCCTTATTTGTCTAGGGTTTTTTTTCTCCACTATAGACCGCGTGACAGTCGGCGATTTGTCATAATATCACGGGGGCTCATTGAAATATTTTCAATTGCTAGTTAAACAAGTTCACGCTGGGTGCTTTCCAATTTGTACGACCTTGGAGGAGCACAAAAGGGACAATTATCCCTGAGGCACTATAGCCTCGCCCCCCCCCCCCCCCCCCATAGCAGAACCCTGCCTTTGAAAAAAAAAATTATTGCAAAATAGGCTATAGTTCGCTATCGGAACTGCGCATGTGCATAAAAAGTACATGTAGGGGATGGTTCACATGTGCAATGGGGGAAAAATGGGATTAAAGACGTGCATTCATATTCAGACGAAAATATATTAATGGCCGATTTCAGAAATGAATGAACATTTCAGAAAATTGGCCGGGAAAACCAATAATTGAATTATGTGACCGATGGAATGTTCCATTCTAGCAGGCGAATAGAACATTCCATCCGTCCCTTCATGAAGTTATTCCTACCCTTGCACTCGGACACATGCATTATGGTATAGTCCAAAGTTTTTGGAATTATTTTGTACTTCTTAAGCCTACTCTACAGTATTGCACTAGTATTGCTCTTGGTTCGATTTTTCTATTTTCTATTTTTTTATCTATTTTCTATTTTTCGGTATTAAAGTCGGCAATAGCATATGGTCAATACAAATTTAAACTCCCTTTGGAACACTCTGAACGGCATGTCAATTTTTCAGACACCACCGTCAAGCTTTACCTATATCGGTTCCATTTATGCTTTCGAAAATAAAAACACGAAAACTACAACTCTTTCAAGCTGCGGATGGTGAACGGCATTGTGTTCGCGTGTTTTTCTGAAGTTGGAAAATGCGCGAATTGTACACCATTGGCCCAAAGGTGTTTTTCTTTCAGAAACCAGGTTCCTGTACGTTCAATGAAGGTGTACAATTTAATTCAACGAAGTGTTATAAGTTACAGTAGGCCTCAGTTTACTTTAGACATTCCCGAGAGTACGACGCGAAGGAGAATTCTTCTACATAGCGAATGTGTACAGGTTATTTAGGTTGTACCCGTTTTCTAACAATTTGAGGTTGTACCAATGGCCTTAATTTCTCAACGAATTCTGGATTTCAGATTTATCCCCCCACCCCCCAATAAAAAAACAAACAAACAAACAAACATACAAACGAATACCAACTAAGCAAGGGAGCGTTTCAGTCAGGCTGAAAGCCGTATCCATTGCTGTACCGGTTCTTCGCGGTACCGCATTCCATACCCCTAACCTGGCTGATGAATGGAAAGCCGTCAGGCGGTAATAACTGAAATTTTATGAGGTCAAACTCATTAAAAGCCCAGTCAGCTTGTCCAAGATTTTAAGTTTGAATAGGCCATGAAGTGTTGAATCGGCACTGGCCAGCCCGTGTACAAAGAACCTGACCCTTCAGTGGAGGTGTTGCATCGTTGAAGTGTGGTTTAGGCCCAAAAAAAACGTCACGTGCAAGGCTCAATAGACTCAACGATGACTGTCATGCATAAACTGTTTGGGAAAACACTTCCACCCATTCCATCTTCACACAATGTCTGAGTTCAAAGTTTAACTGAGAAACGCCCAAGAAATTTCAATACAGCTGTGTACAGCCCCCAGCATTTCAGCATGATGCCAGTCTCCGGTTTCTGGTATGCGCGCGCGTCGCCGTAGCCATGCGCGTCGGCAAAATGAAAACGGGTTTTTTTTTCAATGAAAGATGATGTCTCAAAACCGCCAAACTCACTGGTTTGACTGGAATCCTGCTGCTGCACAATTTTAACGTGTTTTTAGATTGGGTTATGGTCGAGAATAAGCTTTTTGTGGCCTCTCTGTACTCCCATATATTTGCACAAAGTTTAGGCGGGCACCATTTGCAGTCATCTGCCGACATTTGAAGCAAAAAAATCAGGTAAAAAAAAAAAAGTCGCGTCGCCGCACCTTTTTTTTGGGCAAGCTCCATACCAGAAACCGGAGACTTTTTTTTGGCCTTAACAAAGATTAATTGGTATTGAGGCTTGGTAACTTATCATAAGCTGGTTTGGGCGGGGTGCACCGATGAGGTATTAAGTCTGATTTTCTAGTTGATTATTTTAATTTCTATCTTTTCTCTTACATTTTTTGAACCTTGATCGGACATAAGAAGAAGACGCGACAACATATCAGTTCATTTTTTCGTCGTGAGGAGTGAAGTCCTTTCCTCTGAAAAGTGTTGTTCTCATAATAGAAAAATCTTTACGAATAATATCTCGAGACAAGTGTAAAATAATTTCTTTTTTTCCCCTTTAATGCAACAAGAAAAAAATCACAAACGACAAAATGTGTCAATGAATACCTTTGAAAATAATTGACAGGAAAAAATGATTTCATATAGTTTTCAGCTCACGTCATTGGTATTTTCTTCCTGTCAATTAGAAGGGTTTTTTTTCTCCACTAGACCGCGTGACAGTCGGCGATTTACCATAATACCATCGGGGCTCATTGAAATGTTTTCAATTAGGCCATCAGCCTCGGTCCAAAATTTTGGCCGTCGGTATCAAATGAGGGGAATAATTGTCATGGTGATTTTTGGCAAGGTATACACCTCCGGAATTGGAAAATATGTGATAGCATTGCAGTGGTGGCAGCTTTTTGGGTTCTTCTTTTCAAAATGACCATCAAAATACTTGTCACCACTCTAGGGGCGGTATACCTTGCGCATGCGCACTATAATCATTTATGCCCTGATTTGATACTGGACGTTCACGCTGCCTGCTTTCCATTTGTACGACCTTGGAGGAGCATAAGAGGGAATATCACCCCCGTAAGTGACTTAAGCCATAGGCGTAGCCAGCGGGAAGGGGAGGGGTAAGGGGTATTTACCACCCCAACCCCCAATATTTCGTAAAGACTACCCTTTTCCATTCAAATGCCTTTTTTCACCAGCGCTTCACCACGATTCTAGAAACACTACCACTTGATGAAAACCTGGGAAAGAGGGATCACTCAGAGCGGTTACGTCTTGAAAATAAACAAATAACTATGCGCTGCGCTTATGTCATGCATCGCTAAACAGTTCCATCAGAGATTTGAATGCGTTACAACCAGCCAGTACATTTGCGTTCCCCGTGCTACACAAGAATTAAAAAATATATATATTAATAAACAAAACTTGTTTGGTGTGTTATTTAAAAGCATTTTTCCCTTTGCGAGCAGAGTAAAGTAATATTTCAATAATTAATCCCGGGCCAATTTTTTTCGAGTGATATCCAATTATGTTAATCTCCATTTCTGCTATAATAGCCGAACCTAGTAGGTTGTACAATGTCTAACAATAAGGTTGTCCAATTACCTTAATTTTTCAACAAATTCTGGATTTCGGATTTATTGCCCCCCCCCCCACAAAAAAATGAATATGCCAAATAAGTAAGATGGACTGAAGCCCATGTCCACGATTTCAACGATGCCGATGAAAGGATCTCCCCGGAACGAATGATTTACTGAGATGCAACACTGGGCAAAGTTTATTCAATTGGTGGATAATAATAATTAAGGTAGTAAAAGAAAACCAAATTCTTATTTAAAAAAATTACAACCCCATATATAGTTTTGCGCTGCAACTTCGCGGCAAGGTAAAATCCTAAAGATTTCAGTAATATATCGACCGAAAAAACGTCTGTTCTGATCAGTCGTGTTTCCCGATGTTTCCTGTGCGATACGAAAGGATATGCTGACGGGTGACAGACGCCGAGCAAAATGACAGACGACAAACGACGCGTTAGCGCGTTACGAAATATCAGTCAAGAAAAGGCGAGTAAAACCCCCTTTCACTCATTGGATAAAACTAGTTTTAGTACCTTAAAGGTACAGTCCATCATTTGTAATTTCCAAAGATGTGTCTTTAGACGCATCGTTGGATAGGCCTTCTTTCGTTGATTTCTTCAAAATGACAGCATGCCAGAATGAATAATTTTACAGGGAGTTTAGTTTCCTCAATATCTTTCAACCAAGTATGTTTTTTTCAACAATGATTACGTCAGTTACTTTTTGGATAGCTGCAAATGTTGGACGACTGTAGTTTTAACCAGTGATTTGTCCTTCACGTGAGAGTGTTAAAATACAT